CCACCTCCGGGTCCTCCAGGGGCCCCACCCCCACCCCAGGTGGGGGAAGCCCTGCCCAGTGCCCTGGGAAGGAGGGGCCAGTGGGAAGCTTCACTCAAGGACCCTGCAGCCCTGCCCCGGCCGCCTGGGGCACAGCACAGGCTCGCAAGTCCAGTGACCAGGGGCGAGGGGGCCGTGTGTCACTGGGGGGGGCACCTCCCGGCTCTAAAGGCTCTCCCTGCTCCGAGTCTGTGCCCTGGACCCTGGCTCCAGAGCACCTCCTGCAGCCTGTGGTTCTCCCACGGGATGAACGGGATGAAACTCCCCTGTGCGGCCTTGGGGAGCTCCGAGAGAGCCACCCTCTTCCAACGGAGGGCTTCTTTTCAGGGGCGTGGGGGCCCCCGCCAGCCTGCCACCACCGGATCGGGGGCGGGGGCTGAGCTCCGCACCGGGCGTCAGTTAGCAGGCCCGGCATCCTCGGAGACACTGCCCGCCGCGGGCCCGTGTGTGCACGTGGGGTGAGCACGTGCATGTTGGGGTACATGTGGTGGAGTGTGCATGCATGTTGGGGCGTGTGTATGGACGACTGGGCCCTGAGAAAGGAGGGGAGGGGCGAGACCGAGCTGCCTGCCCCGCCCTGTCCCTGTGCCCAGGCCCCACCCTGATGCACGGCCACCGAGAACCTCACCCAGCCCAGAAGCCGCTCAGAGCGCTGCACAGGCTCGTGGGGACCGAGGGGACCATGGGGACTGTGACGAAGCCGCAGTCATTTCAGCCTCCCTGTGGCAGCGGCTGCCCCGCCCTGACCCCACGGTGGCCGAGCTCATGGCGTAGCCACGGGCTGCTCCGTCCTGCATCCTCACACCACGGCAATGCCTGCTCACCGAGGGTGCCAGCTCCTCTGTCCACCAACAGCATGTCCCGAGACCCACCGGGACCCAGCACCGGCGCCCCCCGTTTTCAGGACCGCCCCTAACGACCATCCATGTGGAACTTCTCAACGCAGCCAACGTTCACGAGGAACTTGAAAGGCTCGTAATGACGGCCTTTCATCCATCACGGCGCCGCCAGGCTGGCCTCGGCCCCGGTGAGCCCTGGCCGCCCAGCCCGCCGCCCAGCCCGCCTCCCAGCGCAGCCCAGGGCTGCCTGGAGCCGGCTGGGTGATGCAGGCCAGACGCTGCCCATCTGTCGGCAGCTGGAGCCGCGGGGCTGGGGCCCTGGGCGGCTGCCCTCAGTCAGTGAGACGCGCCGGTCCCTGCAGTTCCTCCAGCGGTGGGCCCGGCTTTCAACTGCCACCCCGCCTCCTTCAGACGGACGGACGGACAGAGGGAGGGACGGACAGAGGCTAATGGGCAGAGCTCCGTCTAAATCCCAGCGTCTTCCCAACTGATAACGGGAAGAATGGATGTGAGCTTCAGCCTCCTAAACACAGACTCCCCATCCAACGTCCGCGAACAGGAAAGGAAAACCGTGCATGTGCTCAGGGAGCCGACCCCGTCCGTGGGCGCCTCTGCCCCCCGCCACGACCCCATGGCAGCGTGGACACATGCACGCCAGCGACACGGGGCCCGTGGTGACACGCTCGGTCTTTTGATTGGGCTTTGGGGAAAAGCCTTTGAGTGAAATAAAACAACTTTTTCCCCTGTGTGTCCCGCACAAAGCCCGTGTGTTTATCACTCTCAGGTCCTCCCACAGCCGGTCCGGCTGGCGAGCGAACCGGCACGGAGCTCTCGGCAGGCTCGGAGCGGGAGAAAGGGTTTTCACACCGACGCCGCCGTGGCACCCGCGCGGCCCGGGCGGCCCTGCGGGCCGTGGCCCCAGCTGCGCATGCGCTGCGGCGGGGATGCTGACGTCGAGGAGGTGGGAGGGGTTGGCCCGAGGGCCCCGCCCAGGATGACGCTGACGGCCCCGCCGTGTTCCTGCGGGAACGCGACCTTGAGCTCCTCCGAGGCGGGTGGGAGGAAGCCCGCGGGGCTCCCAGGCCACGCGCACCGCAGCGTCTCCTCGGACGCGTTCCCGCCCCGACGCCGCCGCCCGGGCCAGGAAGCCAGCCCCCCGGCGGGGACGCCGTGGCTCACCCACAGGTTTGAAACCCCGAAAACGACGGTTTCACGACACACGCCCCGCGCTGGAGGCGCCGGGCCCCGGACGGAGGAGACGCCGGGGTCGCCCGGGGCAGAGCGGAGACGGTGGGAGAGAGCGGGGTGCGGGGCGGCTGGAGTGAGGAGCCCCCCGCAGCGGTGACGGCCTCCCGAGGGTCAGGGTGGTGGAGGGACTCTGCTGGGTCGTGGGCCGACGGTGCCGCTCCGGCGTCCATCCGCACGTGGGGCCGCTCGCTTCCTCGGCAGCCCGGCCCTCCAGCCACCCGGCCTCGGTCTGCCGTGTGCTGTGCGCCTCCCGCGAGCCCCCACACCGCACCCCGCCCCGGGATCCGGCCCCAGCCCAGCCAAGACACCCCGTGTTCGGGCAGTCAGATTTTCTTCTCGGACTGTCAGAGACTCGGGCTGCACGGTGGCTTCGTCACTGGACGCGGCCGCCGGACCTGGTGGAGGAGGGGGCCCTCGACACCTTGGCTCCTGACCGGCGAGAGGGACCCGGAGAGGAACCCCTGGGCCCCGTGTGACACTCCCCTTCCGCGCGGCCAGGGCACCACCCGGCCCACCGCGAGCGAGGCTCTGAGACTCAGCGCTGCTCCCGGACCTCTCCCTGCCTGGGCTCTGGCGGAAACGGGGAGGACGGCCCGTGCCGGCCGGGCTGCCGTGTGCAGCCCGCTGCCATGCCGCCCGCAGGACCGTGTCTGCGTCCGAAGCGCCACGCACAGGAAGGCCGCGGCAGCCGAGCCGTGGGGGGCCTGGGCCGAGGTCCAGGAAGCATCCCTGAATTCCTGGCGCCTTCCCCGCCCGGGTTCACAGACCGAGCCCCAGCGCCGGGCGGCAGCAGCTCCACGTGGCTCCCACGGGGCCCCTGCGGAGCTCGCCCTCAGAGCGGACCCGCCCTGGGGCCTGTGCCCGGCTGTGCCTCTGTCGGCGGGAAGCCGGGGCGTTTGCCTGGCCTGCTCTGATGGCACCCAGGGAGCCCGGGAGGCAGGCAGCCCCGTGCGGGTTTGCGCCGGACCAGGCCCTGTGGAGCGGACCAGGCCCTCCTCCACGGCTGCAGCGGCGGAGTCCCCCCAGGGGGCTGGGGCCTTGCCGGCCGCACGTGGCCGGCTCAGCGCGGGACCCTTCCTCAGAGCCCACCGGGGGTCTGGCGGTCAGTGCCGGAGGCTCCCTCATGCCAGGAGGGGCCACGCTCTCCGGGCCCAGGGAGCGGCCTCGGCCCAGAGCACACGGGCACTGTGGGGCGTCGGGAGCGCCGTCAGGGTCCGACAGGGCCATGGGGGGGCCCCGCTCCTCTGCCAGCGCCCCAATGGCGTGGCATGTGCCGTGGGGCTGTCCCGGAGCCCGCGAGAGAGTCCCACTGGCTGACGTGCTCCCTCCGTCCTCATCCTCAGCCAGAGCGGTGACCCGGTCTGCCGGCCGCCCGCAGCCGAGCGCACGGCTATGGCGCCCTCTATTGGAAAGCACTCGGACAGAGCCCTGGTCCGGCTGCCGAGACGGCTGCTCTCGGGGAGCCGGGCTCCTGCTGTCAGGGCACCACCGGGTGCAGGCCCCGCCAGGGGCGCAGGGGACTGCAGGTCACAGACAGAAGCCTGTTCCGGCAGAACCGAGAGCAGGACCCCCAGCCGCAAAGGGCACCCCAGGCCTCCGGCTCTCAGAGCTCTTGAGTGTCTCGGGGCGCTTGCAGCGCCCGGGGGTTCAGGGGTCGCGGTCCATGCAGCCCCCCGTGGGGAAGGGACTGGGCTGGCGTCAAAACTGAGGTCCCGAGAAGGGCCCCCATCGGCAGATGACGGCCAGTGCTCACGCTGCTTCACTGTGGAGGGGGACAGTCCAGGATGGACCCGGCCGATGGGGACACAGGGTGGGACGAGGGGCGAACTGGCGGGGGGGCGGGGGGGCCTGGCGCTGCTTCGTGCCGGCGACCCGGTCTCCTGTGGGCAAGGGGACACGAAGTGCGGGACACCCCGGCCGAACACACGGCAGGGCTGTGCTTCCATCCGTCTCTGGTGACCCCCCCACCCCCCGCCCACAACCACAGCGGCTCTGCCGTGGCGGGTGCTGTCCCAGGGGCCCCTGGCAAAAACACGGCCTTCCAGTGCACACAGCTGGGCACAGCTTACTGTCCCCACAGCTCACACGCTCTATTTTATTTGTCCGCACGCAGAGCTACAAGTGTCCCCCCGCTTTTCGGAGACAGTTAATTATAGGCCGAGGTGACAGCCTGGTAACGAAGGACCCGACGGTGGTGCACAGATGCTGGAGACGGCCCCCGACGCCCCGGCGGCAGGGGCTGACCCACCTTCTGAGTGACCTCTGACTCCTAGGCTCGACCTCGGGGCACCATCTGGAGCGTGCCGACGCCAGGGGCCGGGGAGAAACCCCACCCCTCTGTGAGCTGCCCCTGCCACGGCCACAGCCACGCCCACGGGTGGCCCATGTTCCCAGTCCGTGCTGACTGACAGCTGGTAACTTTCCGCTGCGCCCACGCAGGGGGGAGGTGGCTGCGCCCTCGTCCCGGCAGCCGGGCAGACAGAGCCCCAAACCTCCGTGCCCGCCCCTTCCTCGCCGCCCCGCGAGTGTGAGCCAGGGCCCTGCGCCCTGCACAGCCCAGAGGGAAGCAAGGGACACGCCGGGTGGTCAGCCTCTCAGGGGCACGGCCAAGGCCACAGGCTGGGGAGGGTTGTGTGGGCCGAGGCCCGGTGGCCGCGGCCCTGGTGGTCACAGCCGGCACTGGTGGCAGCCAGCTGTTCCCGGTGGGCGCTGATGTGTCCCAGTCCCACCCCCCCAACCCCCGCCGGAGTGGACACCAGCACCGGGACAGCGGAGGGGGGGATGTGGGGGGGACACACGTGTGCAGGACAGCGGCCCCCGCGCTCTCCCTGCAGGAAACGGCCGAGGCGACGAAGGAAGGACAGGACACGCGTCTGCAGGGCACAGCGGCTCCTTTAATGGGGCGGGGCCTCCGCACAGGCCCCGCTGAGGAGCCTGGACACCTCCGTGTCACCCACGTCCCTCCCCCCGAGAAGACACAGGTTCGGCTGGTGGGCTGGGAGCTGCGGGCGCCCCCTGCGACCCCGCGCCAGGTTCCGGCTGGACGGGGGCCCCCTGCCCGGGCCGTCGCTGCCCCCGCCAGCGGCCTTCATGGTTCAGGAGCCACTCCTTCATGCCCGGGCCCCCGGCCCCGGAGTAGTTGCCCAGGGCTCCGCTGCTGCAGATCACACGGTGGCACGGGACCAGGATGGGGACCTGGAAGACACAGAGGTGGCCCCGTCAGTCTGGGGTCTGGGGAGGCCTTCGGGACGCCAGGGCTAGCCCCTGGGCCCCGCGGTGCAGCTCCTGCCATGCCGGGCTCGTCCACGCTGCCTCTGGGCCACTCCCCCCTCCCCCCCCCCCGTCTCTGTGGTCCCTGCAGGGGCCCGGGGCTGGCTGGGGGGACACAAGCCCCCAGGTGGACGTGGGGCATCCTCCAGCCAATCCCTGTGTGCACCGAGGTTTGGAAACTTCGTTTCCTCTGGTGAGAGACTTATACAGTGCACTCACAAAACTTAAAGTGACCTTGGAGGCAGCGGTGGTGCGCAGGGGCCTCTGACCTGAGAAGCGGCAGCAGACCCCACCGCTGGGAGGTGCCCCCAGGCCCCCACCCCGCCCCATCCCTGACCGCTGGGCCTCTCGCTGCGCCCACCTCCCCGCACTCACGTGTGCCCCGGCCCAAGTGCCCGCCAGAGAGCAGACCCTCGGGGTGTGCCAGCCCCCCGGGGGAGGCGCTCTCGGGCCCCAGGCCCTGCCGGCGGCCCGCCCCCACCCCCCGGGCTCTGCAGAGGGGGGGCTGCGCCCGCCCGCCGAGGTCGGCACACCAGGCACCGTGGCCAGCTGCTGACGGCTGCGTGTCCGGAGGAAGTGGCGGGGCACATGTGCCCCGGGACCCCTCTCCGTGTCTGGGCCCCCTCCGCTCCTGGGGGGCCCCCTGGCCCCCACCATTGCTGGAGACCCTGTGTGGAGGACGGAGCCGGGCAGCACACAAGCCCACCTGCCCGAGGGGCCGGCTCTGGGCGTCCCGGGCTGCGCTGGCCCCTGGCGGTAATGTGCGCCCTGGTGCCTGTCCTGGGCGCGGTGCCCACAATAATGCCACCAGGAAGGCAGGCTCTGTGCCTGGAGTAGCACATTGTGACACCGGGCACTGTCATCCCGAGGTCCCAGTACGTCCCTTGCCCAAGTTCACATGGATGATGGAGGCCAAGGAGGATCCCCGCCAGGCGGAGGCGGGGCCCTCGGGGCCCTCCCTGCTCCAGGGGACCCTCCAGCCGACGGCCAGCGGGGTGTGGGGGCGGGGCAGGAGACCGGCCAGCCTGCTGCGTAGTTTGGCTTGGCAGGAGGGGATCTGACTCCCCGCACGGAATCCTAGCCCGATTCCCACTGGAAGTTGGGGTTGCCACGGTAACACAGGCCGTCTGGGCCTGCCGACTTCCTGTTCCGGGCAGTTTAACGCAGTGTGGGGCGGCGACCCTGCCGAGTCCTGCAGACCAGCCTCACCTTCCTGGAGGGAAACAGAGACTCTGGAGCACGGAGCGTGGACTCGGGCGGGTGCAGGGGTTTTATCCGACACCACGGTCACACGGCCCCACTGCCCCGGCCTGGAGGACAGCCTCAGACACAGCCCACACCCCCTGTGCCTGGCGCAGAAAGAGGGGGGGCCTCTCGTCTGGTTTCACAGACGTGTGGGTGCCGGTTCTCGTCTCCCACTGGACAGATTCCACTTGTGGCCTTTGCTTCCCCTGCTCCCTCCGAGCAGCTGCGCAATCACAGAGCGTGTGACGCGGGCCTGGCTCGCTCTCGCGTGTCACGCACGCAGGGGACAGACGGGACGGCCGGACGGGAGGGGCGCCGATGAACCGTGACCCAGCCACGTGCGGTGTCCCCGTGTGCGCGGGGAGCGGGTGACGACCAGACGCGCCCTCTCCACCACCAGACCCGGGGGGGGGCACTGCCTCTGTCCGCGCTCCTGCCGGCGGCGGCAGGGTCCGCGCCACTCAAGTCACGGAACCCGCCCGAGGAGGTTTCCGGGCAGCGGGGCCCTCCGGTGGCCTCTCCCCTCCGGTGGCCTCTCCCCTCCGGTGGCGCTGCTGCCCACAGTGCGGTTTCTGTCCGCAACGGAGCAGCTCCTGCCCCCGCTGCCCCGCAACCTCCACGCTGTGAGATCCAACTCGTGCGCCGCGCGGATCCATCACTCACACGGCCCCTTTCTCCGAGGCCATAAAACTTCCAAACCCATAGATTTGTCTCCAACAAAAACAACACGAAAGGGCCTTGCGATCGATGGCGGATTCCCTCTGATTCCGGGGCCGGCTGAATATTTCTCCAACTTCGCCTTTGTTCTTGCGGGGAGCGGCCCCCGGGGGACGGGCTTGTTTTCACTCGCGGCCTCATCAATACCTAAATCCTGGTGAACAAGTGACACGGAGAAGCTGTAATCAATAGCTCCCTGTGCGTTTTTTTCTTCTGGTCAAATGGTTCAGCCCCGCTGACAGCCCTGACACTGGGAACATGATGCTAAATCTTTATCAACAACCATCTGGGTGAGTGGCAGAGCGCGGCTCGGGGTCATTAAGGCCCGTGGCCATCTGTGAATAAACTAACTCCTCCGGAACGCGTCGTGTTCGGGAGAAGGTGGGAAGCTCTCCGTGCGCCGCATCGATCGCCTCTGAACTGCATTAAGCAAATTCTGTCGGAGGACGCGAGGAAGGGGCTCTGTGGGGGGGGGGGGGGCTGCGGGCGGCGTCTTCGGTCCAGTCTGCCAGGACACGGACCGTCCCCAGCGCCGGGTCGGCGGGGGGGGCCTTTGGAAGGCTGCCAGACCGTCCTCCCCAGGCCGGTGCGCGCCTCGAGGAACACTTGGGAAACAGCAAGCGTCTGGGAAGGGACAGGCCTCCCGCCCAGCACACGCCACACTCTCCCCCGGCGAGGGCCACGGTGTGGTGCCGAGTGCCGCCGCGTCGCTGGGAGCCGCCCACGGGATGCGTGTTCCAGTTCCTGCGTCCAGCCACCCCTGGACGCATGGCCAGTGCGTGCGGGAGTCCACCGTCAGCGCCGAGGGAGGGGCACGGCCATGCGGGACGTCCACGCCAGGCACGGCCCAGCCCTGGACCAGCCCCCGCCCTCCCTCGGGCCCGAGTCACCTCTGGGGCCCCTCGGCCCCCTCTCAGGAGTCTTCTGTGGCTCTGGGGACTGGCGCGCTCCTGCGATGCCAGAGCACCGTGAGCCACGCACGCTTCCTGCGGCAGTGCCGACGCGCCTGCGCCGCGGCGGGGGGCGCCTCTCCGCTCTGGCCGCGGCTGGCTCCCTGCGGCCTCCTCAACGGGTGCAGGTCCCTGCGTGGGCTCCCCGCAGTGCCCAGCCACAGAGGGAGCCCGTGGGGGGGCCTGAAGGCCCACCGCCACCAGCTGCCTTCGGGGGGCGGCGACAAAGGGGGGGGCGCCCACAGAGCTTCCTGCTGAGTCCGTCGTCACTGCCGGGCTCGGCTTCGGCATGCGATGGGGACCCACGCGAGGACTCCGCACACCCGAGGGTCCGGTTTGTGCCGCTCAGTGACTGGGGCCGCACGCGCCAGGGACGGCCCGAGATGAGCAGCAGGGGGACGAGTGTCGTGCTGGGGGCGGGACAACAGACGTCCCTGAACGCTCCCAGGAGTGTGGTGGCCAAACAGCCACAGTGTCCCCGCAGCGGAAGCGAGGACCCGCGGGCGCAGAGGCAGACGGGGCTCCTCCTCCGTGTCTGCGGGGTGCAGAGCCTGCCTGCCCAGCACGGCGTGGGCGCGGCACACACCCGGGGCGGGGCCGTGTCGCCTCCCTGGGCCTGGGCGCACCGGGGCCGTCAAACTGGACGTCGCGGAGGGAGGCGGGCAGCTCCACCTGCAGGGCACGGACGGCAGAAACCCGGCCTGCAGCAGGGACGAGGGAGAGCTCCCACCGGGCCGGCACCCGCAGCGCCGCGGCCCGTGGGCGCAGAAGCACGCTCGCTCCCAGCAGCCGGCGCTGGGCGCGCAGCGGAGCCTGAACGGCGTCCAGGGGGCCGTCTGGCGCGGAACGGAGTCACAGCCGGGAAGACGGTGGGGGGGCGGCTGCCCACAGGGAGGAGGGGTGTTTATGCTTTATTGGCAAACAGGACGTTTCCAGAAACTTTATTCAGAATTACGCCGCGTGCTCCGTGAAAATGTGGCCCCGTGGGCGGTGGGGCGTGTGCTAGCGCGGAGGCCGGCGTGCGGCAATGAAACACGGACGGGGGTGTGTGTGCGAACAGCTTGCTAACGGGGCCCGTCAGCCCCCGTCGCCACGACCGCGGGACTCGGGGGGCAGGGGAGGTGGAGGCTGGCGTCCCACGGGGCGCAGGGCGGCCTGGGTTCTTCGACGTGGCGGGAGGCCCTTCCGGGCCAGACGTCCCTTCAGTCCGGGCCGTCCCCTGCGAACCACCGGCCGGAGCTGCTTCTGAGAGCACTGCGCAGCTCCGTCCCGGAGACGCCGGCTCTGCCCCGGGCTGCTGAGCGGAGCGGCGGGAGGCGCCCCCGTGAGCCGGGGTGGAAATGGTCTTGGAAACGTGCAGCGAAGCTGCGGCGATGTTTCGAAAAGCAGCCCCTTTAGTCCATCTCCAGTCCCAGGACTCCTGCTCGGGCGGCAGGCTGCTGCCACATTCGGGACTTCCCAGTGACGGCTGGGCCAGCGGGCCGGGCCGCCCCGCCCACGCACAGGCCCACGGGTGACCCGATGGGGACCAGAGGCGCCCTCTGTACTTCCGGGCATGACAGGCACGGCTGCCCCGCGTGGCTGCCCCGGGTTCGAGAAGATGTCTTCACGTGGCCGTGAGCCCTGCTCTCTCTCGGCTAAGCCCGGCTGCAGGCACACGGCGGGGGGGGGGGGGGGGACAGGGTGGGACAGAACCAGGCACGCCCGGACCCGGTGGCCATCCCAGGACACGTCAGTTCAGCCGTCCCTCATGGTGGGGCCTGGGAGGGCTGGACCTGGGAACAGGAGGCGGCCCCGGTTGGGGGGGGCCAGCACGGGAATCCGTCTAGAACGTGAGCTCCGGGAGGCGGGCCTTTCCCTCTGCTGTGTGGTGGCGCCCCGGCACCTGGAGGGGGTCTGCTTGCCGCATCTCCAGGCTGCGTCCCCGAGTGCTCCCTGCGGCCCCAGCACCCAGAGGGGCGGGCCTCTTGGGGGGTGGGCGTCAGTGGGAGTGCTTCTCTGCCACCTTCCCCAAAGCCGGTGGGGCCCCACCCATGGGTGCAGCCCACACTCCCCGCCCCCTGCCCCAAGGCCCTGTCACAAACGCTTCCTGTCCGCCCGCCACCGCACAGGCTGCCTGGGAAACACGCTCACATCGAATCCTATGGCCCCCACGCGGTGCCCAGGCCTGCCCGCACCCCTCCTCCGCGCTGACCCGGACTTACGGGGTTGCTCCGCATCGCCCCGCCCACGGCCCGCGCGGCTCTGGGGCTGCCGGCCAGGGCCGCCAGCTGCTGGTAGGAGACCACCTCTCCGAAGCTCACGGCCTTCAGCAGCTTGCACAGCACCTGCCTGGTGAAGGAGTCTGCAAGGGAGGGGCGGAGAGAGGTGGTTGGGACAGCCGGCCCCAGCGGCTGCGGGGAGAGGGCGGCCAGTCCCGCGAGAGGCGTGCATGGGCACAGACGGGGGGGGGGGGTCACCCGCAGGGTGTCACCCGATTAAAACGCAGCGCCGCGCCCGCTCCTGCCGCCGCGTCCCCTGGCCCGGGGAGCGTGCGCGAGGCGGGGCGCTGACCATGCGTGGCAGACGTGCAGCCTCTCCCCGCGCACCTGCGTCTGCGTATCAGTGCGCGGGGCCGCCCCTGCCCTCGGTGGCGGGACCATGGGGCCTGCGGCCTCACTCCCACCTCGGCGGGGGCCCCGAGGGACAGCAGCCGGGGGCCGGGCTGGGACGCCAGGCTGGCGTCCACCTTCGGCCGCGAGCGGCCTCAGAGCACCCAACCGCGGCAGCCAGGGGCCGGCGCGGACCTCGGCCGCAGACACCTGCGATGCGCAGAGCTACAGGACAGGTCACTCTGTCCCCGTTGTCATCGCCTGAACACCTTCAGCAGCACCGGCTCTCCGTGCTGCCTCGGGGTGAGCCTGCGCTCCCTTGGCCCCCGAGGCGGAGCCGTTCCCCGGGGGCGGAGCTGGCCGCAGAGCAGCCCAGGCCCGTGAAGGTGGCCAGTCTGGGTGGACACGTCTCGTCTTTCCCAAGGGAATGTCAGCTGAGTCTCCCACGGTGGGGCGCCGAGCCCCCCGGTGGGTGGCAGGAGGTCCCGACGGCCCCAGCCGAGGGGAGGACTCCCCAGGCAGGCGCGGTGTCCAGACAGCGGCCGCGATGACACTAATTACACCCGGTGCCGGGCCGGCTGGTGCCGCCGGGTTCCGAGGAGAAACGCACCCTTACATGCGCGTTAAATAATAAAACTCACTTCTCAGCTGAAGGGGACGATAATCGCTTCACCGGAAAAAATGTATTTAGTCTTTATTATAACATTAAGCAAATTAAACATCAGCATAATCCAGGTGATACGAGAAAAGGGTCATCAAAGAAATTAACTTTGTTGTTCATTAATTTACGTGGATTACGCGAGGGCAGAAGATAGCAAGTGTGCTCCAGTTTCTTACGATATAATTTCAGGCTGTACACCGTTTGTGGCAGGAGGGTGACTTTGGGGTTAATCAGACTGATTTGTCCTTTTAATTGCTTTCTATTCAAAGAAAATTCATTAGATAATGTTCTCTTCAAAATTCATGAATCAATTTAACTGAAGAAACCACATTAACGGCTCCGGGTTCATTAGCACCGGGACGGCGGCGGAGGGCGCGGCGGGGAGGGCTCCTCAGGCAAACACACGCTGTTTACTGCCGTTCCCCCGAAAGGGCTCTGGAACCAGGCTGTGCCGCTGTCGCCGTCGCCGCTGCCGCTGCCGCTGCGCCCAACTTGAGGGAGGTCCGGGGGGAGAGGGCAAAGGAGGCCGACGGTGGCGGCGAGGCGGAGAACAGGTTTCGGGGCCCGCTGCCCGGGAGGGGAGCCAGGGCCATCAGCTTGCAGACGGGAGCACTGCCCAGAGCCCCCCAGCCCGTCAGCTGCCAGGCGAGGGGTGCGGGCGGGGAGCCGGCCCCTCCCTGCGCCGTCCCCCGGAGCCCCAGCCCCGCCGCATGGAGCACCTTCCTTCCCAAGTGTAAATGTGCTGAGAAATACAATTGCACGTCCGTGTACGAGTGTGCGCTTGTCCAGCGTTTTCCGTAGCGCTGGCGAGTTCCGCGGGGGACCCCTGCGCGCCCCGCACGAGCCGGGCAGACCTAGGGCCGAGGGGAGCTCACGGGCGGCGGGAGGCGGCGACCGAGCGCTGGCTGTGCAGACGTGCCGCGGGGCAGGCCCACGCTCACCCCGCAGGCAGCTCGGAGTCAGCGCCTGGAGCCCCGCCCTGTGCGACAAGGGCCGCAGACAGGGGACCCGGTTTTGGGGCGGGGACCATGCATGCAGCTGGTCCACACCCTTCCATGATGCAGTGAAACCTGTCCACAAAACCTCCCCCGCAGAGAGATGCTCTGCAGGTGGCAGCGACCACGTAAATCTTCGGTGGCCGGACCGTCACGGGCCACCACGAAAACATTATCCTTTTCTCTCCCATCACGCCCCCCCCTCCCACCCTGCGCCCTGGGAGCAGGCCGTGATCCCACAGCTGGGCAGAGTGGCCACCGCCGGCCGTGTCTGCGCTGGGGGCTCAGGGCGGGCTCGGCCGGAGGCCGTCCTGCCGCCAGAGCACCTTGTCTTAAGGACGTGGCTGCTCGCACTCGGTTTGGGTGCCCACTTGGAAGACACCACCGGGCCCCCGGCCCCGCCACCGCTGTCCCTGAAACCGCCTCTCTGCCCGGACTGTTCAGCACCGGCGGGCGGTGAGGACGCGTGTCCGACGCTGGCCTCAGAGACGTGTTGTGCTGTGTCACTGACCCCGTCTTCGGTGTGGGCTCTCCTCGTGCCACACGCGGGGCGGGGGGGGGGACCTGGGGACGGCCTGCACTGCACGCGTGGGCTCTGAGAAGGGCGGCGTGTGCGGACACCCCAGCCCGGGGCGGGGCCCAGGCCGAGTGGAGACCACCACCACTCGCCTGGGAAAAGAGAACCAGCAAATGCCAAGGCCGAGGCGGCACAGACGTTGGAATCGCCCGTCCCCTCCCCCCAGCTGGTGGAGGGGTCATTGACAAATACGGTTGCGACACGTTTCCAGTGCACGGCGTGAGGGCGCACTACGCGTCACCCGACAGTGGGGAGGGTCTGGGGTGACAGCAGGGCGAGTGTAACAGTCTACGGGTTCGTTTGAACATTTCACCTAAAACGTCACATGGTGTGCTCGGGTGTGACAGTGGTAGGTGCCAGAATCACACACTTGCCATTCTGTAATAAAGGATTCCATAACAAAACGGGCGTTGCTTGTGCCGGACCCTGTGTTCGGTGACTGAAAGCAAAGTCACGCCCGATCGGATGGAGTTCTGGCGGATGTGGGCGCGAACCCCACGGCACGGTGCCGCCAGGGCCGGGCAAGAAGGCGCGTGTGGGGGAGGGGAGGTCCCGCACTCTGCCGTGAGGCCCGGGAAGCGCTGAGTCCGGTCCGACTGTGCGAGTTTGCGGGGCGACCCCCGAACCGCCGGCAGAAAAACCACAGAGCGAGGTCACTGGATTACAAAACCAACGGGTATGTGAAAATACTAGAAAGGTGTTGAAATAGCCTGAAGGAAGGGAGGAAGGAAGGGAAGAGGGAAAAGACAGAAAACAAAATACTATATAAGAATAAGATAAAGTGCAACAAGATCAATAGTAAAATGAAACAAACGCCGTGTTTGTATCTAGATCCCATCCTGTCAATGATCACATTCAACGTGAGTGGTTCAGTTACATCAATGAAAAGACGGAATGAATTTAAAAACAACCCCAGTACAGACTTTCTAAAAAAAAAAATTCACTTCAAGTAACAGGCGCAGGTGGGGTAAAAGTCCAAGGAAGGAGGAGATAACATCGTGAAAACAGAATCTGAAAACGGCTGGTAGCAGGCACAGCGGGGCCAAGAGCCGAGACGGTTTCCAGGGCGGAAAGGAGGACCCCGCGGCGACGCGAGGGGCGGCCCAAGGAGGGCACACGCCCCCGGAGACGTCCCCGTGCCTGACGGCCGAGTGTCCGGCCCAAGGAGCAAAAGCCGACACAAGCTGGGAGGGGGACCGGACGAACCCACGACCGTACCTGGAGGCTGCGACGCGTCCCTCCCAGTAGGACAGAAACAGCCGCAGCGAATCAAGGGCGTCGAGACGGAAACGGCTGCCAACCGGCCGCTCCGCCCGGGGCCCGCGGAGCGCTGGGCGAGCGCGCCGGGCCGCCTCCGGGTCGTCGTGACGCAGACTCGGCCCACTCGGCACGTCTGAAGTCACGCGAGTCCCGTTCTCTGACAGTAGTGAAGCGAGGCCAGACAGTACTTCTAGAAAGGTACCAGAAACATCTCTGAACGTTGGAGCAGTCAGTGAGCCACGGGTCCCGGACGGGTCGGGAGGGGCAGGAGAACACGCCACCGGCCGAGCGCCACGGAGGACACCACGTGTCACAGTTGGCGGGACACAGTAACGCACTGATTATTGGACAGTTGACAGCGTTAAGGTGCATGTGTGAGGAAGAAGAAGGCTCTCGAATCAGTACTTTGAGCTTCCAACGTAAGCAACCACAGGCACAAAAGAAGAGCAAAAGAAAACCAACTCGAGGAGGAGGAGGAAGTCAGGGCACTGGCAGGAACCCCTGACGCCAAAGCCAGACTGATGGGGAGGGAAGCAGCTGGAACCGAAACTGGGCTCTTTGAAAAGACCAATAACATTGACGAATCTGTAGCGAGACCGATGAGAGAAAAAACCAGATCGTCAGCCTCAGGAATAGAAGGGACGTCACCGCCGGCCGCAGACAGGACGCGGGGAATAAAGGGTCCCTTGGAGCGGCCCCGCGGAGCACTCAGCCCCGCGGAGGGACCGGGCCGCCCCCCGAGAGCGACACACCGCCTCGCGGCGTCCAGCGCGGGGCGGAAACCCGGGGTAGTTCTGTAACGACCGAAGGACGCACGTTCCCGGTGTCCGCTCCGGAATCACTGGGGCCAGACGGTTTCACTAGCGAATCTGATCGAACGTTTGAGGAGGAAACGCATGAGTTTAGCAGCATCCTTTCCTGAAGAAGAGGGCTACCTCCCCGGGCGTGTTTCCGAGGCTGTGATTACTCCGAGATCAAAACCAGGGCAAGACAGAAACGGGAAAGCTACAGACTGACGTCTCCCAAGGGCGCAGACGCAAACACTCTGCACGAGGCACTGACACATCAGGCCCGACGACACATCACGGATAAAACCTGGAGACCAGGCGGGCTCGCCGGCGCCTGAGGGGCGAGTCTCTCCACAGACCGACCCTGCGTGTGGGCGAGGGAGCGGGTGCACAGGTCCACGGAGAGACAGACACCGACCCGCACAGAACGGAGACACAGGAGCAGAGGCGGCGGGTGGCCGCTCCATGCTCG